CGGTGTGCCGGCGCCGCTAGGCGGAGGATTAGCCTAGTGAGCCGCGGCGCCGGCTGAGGCACACTTCTTAATTTTTATGAAGTTCAACTTCTTTTGTTGCTTATACTTTTGGCACGATATTTAAGAATCTGATGCCAAATCTGAGGTTATTAAGACTTACCCCTGTGTTTTCTCCTAAGAGTTTTACAGACGTAGCACTTAGCTTTAAGTCTCTGATTAATCGGGGTTGATTTTGTGTATGACATGAAGTAGGGGTCCAGCTTGCTCTTTCTGCATATGGCTATCCACTGTCCTAGCAGCATTTACCAAAAAGACAAAATCTCCCCCTCTGGAAGGACTCGGCACCTGTTCTGGAAACCAATGGGCCACATATTTATGGGCTTCTTCCTGGAGTCTCAATTTCACCCTATTGGCTCGTCTATGTTTATGCCGGGACCACGGTGTCTTCAATACTCTAAGTTTGTAGTACATTTTAAAATTTACTACCATGAGTCATCCAACTTTGCTCTTATTTTTCAAGGTTTTTTGTTGTTGTTAACCTTTGCAATTATGTATTAATTCTAAGCTAATTTGTCAATTTCTACAAATAAGTAGGCTTGGAGTCTGATAGGGAGAAAATAAATCAGTAGGTAGATTTGGGAATGTTGCCACAGCAACAAGGCTGCGTCTCCGACCTGGGAAAATGGGTGCTTGGCCATTGATTCACATTCTTTTAACAAGACGAAAGCCATGGTTTATAGCCTTCAGGGGATATGTTTTGTAATTCTTTTGTCCAATCAACTCCTGTGTATAGCTTTTCCTTTTGATGCTATTACACATAGAATATCCCAACCCCTTGGCTTTTCCATGGCCAATGTGTAGAAATAGAGTTGGTTTTGGTGTGTTGATCTTGTATCTGCAGTCTTGCTAAGTCGTTCACTAGTGCTGTCTTTCTAGTAGAGTCCTTAGGGTTTTCTATGTGTGAGATCATGTCGCCCGTGAGTAGAGATGCTGTGGCTTCCTCCTCTCCAATCTCCACACTTGTTCTTTCTCTTGCCTGGTGCCCTCACGAGAGCCGCCAGCACCAGGCTGGACAGAAGTGGCAGCACACATGCCCGTCTCCTTCCTGATCTCAGGGAGAAGCACCCGGGCTTCCACACTGCGTGTGGCGTCCTCTGTGGGCCCCGCACTGAGGAAGTGTCCTTCTGTTGCTGGCTTTGTGATTGCTGTTTTCACAGAGTGGTGGCCATTACTAAGTCCTTTTCTCATTTGGTGACTTGTCACTCCATCTGTTCTGATACACTGTAGTACACGACTGTCAATCTTGCGTTCCTGGTGATGCTGAACAATTCTTTTCATGTTGCAAGAGTCAGTATTGTGTTGAGGATTTTATAACCATCAGACTCACTGGTCTCTGCTTGTATTTCCTGGTGACGTCTTTGCACAGTTATGGGATGTAAGAACATAAGTAATCGTGGCCTCACAGAAGGGGCTTGGAAGTATCAGCTCTTCCTCAGGTTGTTGGAAGGGTTTGTGCAGCATTAGTTATTAACTCCTCTTTATCTACTTCTGCTCTAACTTTTATTATTTCCTTTTTTGTGCTTGCTTTATATTTAGCTGTTTTCATTTCCCAATGTTTTAAAGCAGGAGGTTGAATTACTGATTGAGACCTTTCTTAAAATAGGTCTTTACAACTATAAACTCCTCTTTAAACAGTGCTTTTGCTGCCTCCCATACACTCCAGGACTTTGGTTTCCGTTTTTACTCACGTTAATATATTCTTATTTGCTTTCTGATGTCTTCTTTGACCCTTTGATAATCTAGGACTGTGTTGAATTCCCACATACTTGTGAAGTTTCCCGTCACTTCTAATTCCATTACGCTGTAGTCAGAGAACACACTCTGCATCACTTCTCTACTCTGCGACTGACCGAGGTTGGCGTCACGGCCCAGCACGGGTCCTACCCTAGACAAGGCCCTGTGCCGCCAGCAGCAGGTGCGTTCTGCGGTCGTCAGGCGGCGTCACTGCGGACGTCTCCAGGCCCTCTGTACTTTACTGCTCTAGCCTTCTGTGTCCTGTTGATCTCCCGAGGCAGTCCACCTGTTAGCGGAATGCAGGCAGTGGATGTTGTCAGTCACGCTGCTGAGTCGTCCATTTCTGTCTTCCTGTCGTGTTTTGCTTGTATTGTGCTGCTCGGTATTATTTGCATTTGTTTGTTGTATCTTCCTGATGGGTTGACCTGTTAGTCATTATAAAGTGACCCTATACTTCTAGTAAAGACTGTTGTTTTCAAGTCTATTCTGTCTGAACTCAGGTTAGCCACCCTACTTTTTGATAGCTGCTGTTTGCATTGTATAGCTCTCTCCATCCTTTTACATTCAATCTGTTCCTTTGAATCTCAGCTATGTCCATTATATAAAGCATTTAGTTGAAGCTTGTATTTTAAATCCAATAGAACAGTCTCTGCCTTTTGAGTGGATTATGTAACTCATTCATGGCTAAGGTTGTTCTTCATATACAGTTGGTCCTCATTATTTTTGGATTTTCTACTTGCACTCTTTAAACTGATTGTAACCCCCAAACCCATACTTGCGAATTTTGTGGTCACTCATGGGCAGCCACAGGGTGGTAAGAAAATCTCAGCCCCTTGGCCTGCGCTGTGGCTCACTAGGCTAATCCTCTGCCTTGTGGCACCAGCACACCAGGTTCCAGTCCCTGTCGGGGCGCCGGATTCTGTCCTGGTTGCCCTTCTTCCAGGCCAGCTCTCTGCTGTGGCCAGGAAGTGCAGTGGAGGATGGCCCAAGTGCTTGGGCCCTGCACTCCATGGGAGACCAGGAGAAGCACCTGGCTCCTGCCATCGGATCAGCGCGGTGCGCCAGCCGCAGCGGCCATTGGAGAGTGAACCAACGGCAAAGGAAGACCTTTCTCTCTGTCTCTCTCTCTCACTGTCCACTCTGCCTGTCAAAAAATAAAAATAAAAATAAAAAAAATTTTAAAAACATGTCAGCCCCCAACACCTGGCCCTCCAGAGGCTGAGCAAGGGGAGACTCCGCCTTCTTTCAGCCCCCTATAGGAAGTAGCTTCGGAGGCCCCTTTAACACCACCTGCCCAGTTTTTGTGTTTGCTGTTGTGATTTCCCTCGGTGTGATGATGGAGGCAGTGCAGTGTCCAAGGGCACAGGCTCTGTCGTGACGGTGCACACGTGTGTCAGACTCATCTATGCAGTTGTGAGTTACAGTGCTGTTGGGTACGAACTCAACGCTGATGCATAAGCTGTCAAATCAGACACGCACAAAGCAAGGCGATGCACTGCTGACGATGGGACCATTCGTTCTCAGGAACCTAACTCTATTTCTGCTTGAACAAAAGTGTAACACTTGCCGATTCAGCACCGGCCGTGGCTTCATGTGACGCAATTACCAGCAGAAACAAATGTCAGCTGCAGTCGCCTTTGTGTCTTCTATTTTACTTTTATTCCTGGTCCGTCCGACATCTTTTCCTGGGCTTCACGCCTCTCTTCCTTCTTCACTCTCTTTTGGCATCCGGTGAAGATCTTTCTAACGCAGCATTTTGATTCAGTCCGTGATGCCTTCACTCTGCTGCTCTAGCTTGTCCGTAGTGGTTGCCCACTGCTTACCATACACTTCTCTGATCGAAATGAACTTCCGACTTACGGTACCTTCATTCCAGGGAGGATAAAAAGAATGTGTCCTGTGTACGTCTATGCCTTTTCTGCTTCTGTGGCTTCATGGTTACACGTGCTGCATCTACACATGGAAAAGGCCTGTGTCTTCGTGGTGACTGACTCCTAGGGTTCTTGACTGTGTCCTCGCGGTGACTGACTCCTAGGGTTCTTGACGTTTAAGACGTTCAGAGAACACGGGAGTGGGTCTGTGTTTACTGCCCGGTCCCCTCGCTCCTGCAGACGTCAAGGTCGGCCCAGTGCCGCTGCCTCCCGTGCACGGTTTCGTGCTGTGGTCCTCAAAGCCATCAGGCTTCCGTGTGGCACAGGCCCAGCCCGGCGTTGTGCACCCTCTCACAGTTTCCCTCCGAGAGGAGGAAGCCGTGCGGGCGGAGTGCCCTCTACCGCCGTGTGATTCCTCACTGTGCTCCGGGTTTTCCACTGAATTTGACTTCCGCCTGGGGCCGCTTCCCACCTGGACGCCAGGGCACACCCCTGGAGATGTCTGCTCACCCTCCAGTATTTCATTTACCTAGAATGTCTGCCCTTGCCTTCAATCCTGAATGATGGCTGTGTTGGATACAGGATTCCTGGCTCGCAGGTCTGGCCCTCTGAGTACCTGGAGTATTGATCACCCACCACCCCCAGGCACCAGTCTGATGTCGGTCACTGACCCTCCGGGGCTCCCATGGATGTGACCTGTCGTTTCTTCTCGCTGCTTCTGGAACGTTCTCCTTGTTCTTGACTTCAGCTTTTTTACTTTCCTGCAGTGATCTGTGGGTTTTCTGTCCTACTTGGCACTGACTGAGCTCCTGCCCATCCCCCCACTCACAACCAGCTATGAGGATGCACAGAGACCATCCTCGGTGTGACCAGCACAGCCCAGCGTCATCGGACCCATCACAGTAGAATGCACGTCTGCCTTCCCACATAGCCTGGAGTCCGAGGTCCCCGTCCCCGTCACCCTCTGGAGGAGGATTTCATTTAAAGACGACCCCGGGATGCAGCAGGCACTGGCACTGAGGGCGCCGTCACGGCTGCTGCCCCTGCCCATGAGCGCCGCGGCGATCGGCTTCGCTGCTGGTTTTCTCCAGGATAAGGCAGGCAGGGACAGCCCAGCACAGCTCCAGAGAGCAACAAGACAGCAGCATCCACGCAGCGTGAACAAGGAACAAGAAAACAATGAAGCGCCCAAAAGCCAGGAAGCAGGAGGCTCCGCCCAGCGGCTGCTGGGGAAACAAACACCACAGAGGGGTATAAAAGCCCCAACAGCCCTGAGCACCTCACACCCTCACCCACTCACTCACCCACTCACCCCTGCCCAGCTCACCGCCCGCCACGGCCGCCTCCACCATGTCCGTCTGCTCCAGCAACCTGAGCTATGGCAGCAACGTCTGCATGCCCGGCTCCTGTGACCCCTGCCCCGACTCCTGGCAGGTGGACGACTGCCCAGAGAGCTGCTGCGAGCCCCCCTGCTGCGCCCCCAGCTGCTGCGCCCCAGCCCCCTCCGTGACCCTCGTCTGCACCCCAGGGAGCTGCCAGTCAGCGTGCACCAGCTCCTGCACGCCCCTGTGCTGCCAGCAGTCTAGCTGCCAGCCCTCGTGCTGCTCCTCCAACCCCTGCCAGCAGCCCAGCTGTGTGACCCTCTGCTGCAAGCCCGTGAGCTGTGTGCCCGTCTCCTGTGTGCCCGTCTGCTCTGGGACCCCTTCCTCCTGCTGCCAACAGTCTAGCTGCCAGCCGTCCTGCTGTTCCTCCCCCTGCCAACAGCCCAGCTATCTGACCCTCTGCTGCAAGCCCGTGAGCTGTGTGCCCGTCTGCTCTGGGACCCCTTCCTCCTGCTGCCAGCAGTCTAGCTGCCAGTCCTTGTGCTGCTCCTCCAACCCCTGCGAGCAGCCCAGTTGTGTGACCCTCTGCTGCAGGCCCCTGAGCTGTGTGCCTGTCTCCTGTGTGCCCGTCTGCTCTGGGGGCTCCTCCTCCTGCTGCCAGCAGTCTAGCTGCCAGCCCTCGTGCTGCTCCTCCCCCTGCCAGCAGCCCAGCCGTGTGACCCTCTGCTGCAGGCCCCTGAGCTGTGTGCCTGTCTGCCCACGCCCCTCGTGCTGCCAGCCCAGCCCCTGCCCCTCGTCCTGCTGCAGACCCTCCTCCTGCGTGTCCCTGCTCTGCCGCCCCGTGTGCAGGCCCGCCTGCTGCGTGCCCGCCCCCTCCTGCCAGCCCAGCTGCTGCCGCCCGGCCTCCTGCGTGTCCCTGCTCTGCCGCCCCGCCTGCTCCCGCCCCGCCTGCTGCGGCCTCTCCTCGGGACAGTCCTGCTGCTGACGTCCTGAATCTCCTCTGGGCCCCTGTCACAGGCCGGGTTCCCAGCTGTCCCTGCAGCTGCACCCTCTCTGGCTTCCACAGCACAGGGTCAGGCAGGCCGCAGTCTGTCCCTGAGGTGCCACCAGGTCTTTTAGACCTGGCCACAGCCCTACCTCTCCCCCCAATGCCCCAAGGTGACCCTCACCCCCAGCCGACGCGGCCCCAGCCCGGGCAGTGGTCCCACCCAGAGTCCTAATAAAGCTGCTGTGTTCTCCACTGACCGTCTGTCCTGCTGTGCACTCGTGGGGAGGGGTGCGGGCGATGGGACACGAGGCCTCCTGGGCTGGCTCCTGCCCACCAGGGAACACAGCCAGAGGGGAGAAGGGCCTGTCCAGCACCGTGGGAGGGCTGAGGCCATGATCAGGGGGCTGTGAGGAGGTGGGGTCGGGGAGGGCTTGCCCTGGGAAGAGCACGCATTGCCCGGTTCTGCGCAGACTCGGCAAATCCACAGAAGACGGACTGTTGGGCGCCAGGGCCGGGAGGGCGGGGGGTGGGGAGAGGTGTGCACAGCGTGTTCCAGGACGACACGCTGGTGGCGGGAATCCAGTGAACACCCACGACCTCCGCTTGTGAGTGATGCCTGGGGGCCTGAAAGCAGAGCCCTCGGCCCCTCCCATGGTGGAGGCGGGGCCACGGATCGCCCCTCCTTTTCCCATGGACTAGTGGCTGAGCTGCCCACAAGTCTCAGCTGCTCCAGCTGCTCCAGCTCGCTGCTAATGCGCTTGGAAAGCACCGGAAGACGGCCTGAATGCTTGGGCCCCGGCACCCACGCGGGAGCCCCGGATGGAGCCCCAGGCTCCTGGCCTCCGCTTAGCCCAGCTCCAGCCATTGCAGCCACCTGAGGCGTGAACCCGTAAATGGAAGCTATCTCTGTTTCTCTTTTGCCTTTCAAATAAATGAATCTTAAAAAAATCTCCCCCAGCGAGGAGGCGGTCACGAGGCTCCCTGAGCACCTGGCCTGTGGGGCCGCACGAGGACGGCCAGGAGCTTGGGGTCTTCTACACAGACTCCAGTCCTGCAACGCAAGGGCCTGGTGGGACGCTCCGCCCGGGGGCTCCGGCACAGGCAGTGCCGCGCACACTCTGGCCACCAGCTTGAGCAGGGAGCAGCGGGCAGCTCAGGGCAGCGCGTGTGTCCCCCGTGCGGGGCTGTGTCATTTCGTCCACGAACACCCAACAACCCAGACTTCTCTCAGGCACAGCGGGCACAGCCAAGCATGGCACAAAGCAGAGCAAGCCCAGTGCAGACCGCGGAGCACTGGGGAGGCTGCCAGGGCGGCGCCCCCACCCACGGGGGTCCCCAAGCCACGGATGCCTGAAGCCATGGAGCCCAAACCCACGTGTGCTGTGCTTTTTCCTGCACATATACACGCACACGCACACACATGCACACACGTGCTCATACACATGCACACACGTGTACCTGTGATGAAGCTCAATTCATAAACCAGGCACAGCAAGTGATTAGCAATCATACCTAATAATAGTAATAAAGTAATTATCACCGTATAGTGGAACAAAAATTATTTAAAATTTAAAAAAATATTTATTTCTAGAATTCTCCATTTGCAAACTGAAAAGTGTGGCAGGCACTGGGGTGGAGGAGGGGAGACGCACGCCAGGGCTGGGGGACCCTGGGAGGGGCCAGCAGGGGCCGAGGGCCGAGGTGGGCGGGACCAGAGGCGCTGAGGCACCTGCAGGCGACCCCAGCAGAGCCGGCATCCGTGTCCCCCAGAGCTCCAGGCGGGGAAGCCCAGTGCCTGCCGACCCACACGGCGTCAGCCCCGGCCACGGCACGGAAGAACTGTGCTGATTCGAGGCTCACTGGGACTGCACCCCGGGCAGCCGCGATGGTGCTCTCTGTCTGGGGGGTCGGTGGCTCCCAGCCTGACAGCACGGAGTGGTCAAACCCAGGGAAGAATCTACCTGATGAGCACTCAGGAACCCTGTGTCCTGGAGGAGGGGGAGGAGGAGGAGCGGGGGAGGGGGAGGGAGGGGGAGGAGGACAGCTGGACCCCAGGCCCTTATGAGCCCCAGTCTGAACACAGGTTGCTCTCGGCCTCCTGGGCCACCTGCCTGGCCCGCCAGGTGCGTTCTCTCCATTTAACAATGTGACCTGCTCTCCCTGGTCTGTGCGACTGGACTCTCCCTCTCTCTACCCCCCCTCCTTCTCCCTCTCCCTCTCCCCCTCCCCTCCCCCCTCTGGTTCTGTCCCGTCTGGTCTGATGATGCCCCCACCCCGATAAACCTCGCTACCTCGCTGACCACTGCTCCCTGTCTCACGTCTGAATTCTTTCTTGCATGAAGACGAGCACCTCCTTCTGGTCACCCGTTAGCCCTGCGTCGTGGCCTCCTGCAGACGCACAGGCCTCTGGGATGGGGGCTCAGACGGGAGCTGCACCTGCACCGGCCTCTCCTGCCTGGGCCCCCCGGGCCGGGGAGTCTGCAGCCACGCTACTCACACAGCTCCCCTTTCTCCTCCAGCCTCCACCTCGCTCGCGGGCCTCGCACACGCTCACGGATCACCTCAATACCGTGTTCTGGAGAATTCTCTGCGGTCTTTGCCTCGACGGGACACGCAGAGAGCTGGGGAGGTAGGGAGCTGAGAGCAGCGCACACCACGCTGACTGCGGCCGTGAAACCAGGACAGGTGCAGCCCAGGGCCCACACAGGGGACAGCGGCAGGCTGGCCCCACCTCGAGGCCTCAGGCTCCTGCCCACTGCCCTGAAGAACCACCAAGTTCCCATGTACCCCAGGGGCTGGGGCCGTTCATCCTGTGTGGGCTCAGAGGCCTGGCTGAGACACGCAGCAGAACCCTGGGGTGGTGGGGTGGGGAGGCTGTGGGCTCAGTGGGCCACTGGCCCTGGAGAGCCAAGCAGCCCTGGCCAGATGAGCTGATGAGCACTGGGCGCTCGAGTCAGCCCCTTTGCAAAGAAGAGTGGCTGGGGCTGGCGCTGTGGCGCAGTGGGTTAACACCTTGGCCTGAAGCGCTGGCATCCCATATGGGCGCCGGTTCTAGTCCCGGCTGCTCCACTTCTGATCCAGCTCTCTGCTATGGCCTGGGAAAGCAGTAGAAGATGGCCCAAGTGCTTGGGCCCCTGCGCCTGCATGGGAGACCCAGAAGAAGCTCCTGGCTTCAGATCGGCGTAGCTTGGGCCATTGCAGCCAGTTGGGGAGTGAACCATCAGATGGAAGACCTCTCTCTCTCTCTCTCTCTCTGCCTTTCCTCTCTCTGTGTAACTGACTTTCAAATAAATAAATAAATCTTTAAAAGAAGAAGAAGAAGAAGAAGAAGAAGAAGAAGAAGAAGAAGAGGAGGAGGAGGAGGAGGAGGAGGAGGAGGAGGAGGAGGAGAGTGGATAAGGCCCGGGGGCAGGGGCGCAGGAGCTGGGGGCCAGACTGGGAACTGGTGGCCCCTGCTGGGAGCTGGGGCCCTGCGAGCCCCTCCCCCACCTCCGTTCCAGAGAGAGTGAGTAGTGCGAGAGCCCCAAGAGGACCTGTAAACAGGCGGCAACCACCGCCAAGCAGCACTGACACGAAGTCCTGGACCCGTCGCCTGCTTATTCAAGCGTTAGGAGAAATACAGCACGTCCACTGCTTAGTACACAGAGCCCACGCAGGACTCTTCATGGCTCCAAGAGTTAAAAACACGAGGGAAAGGCTCCACCTCTCCAGGAGCCACGGAAATGTGCAGCACACGTGTTGACATGAATAGCAACCCCACCCAGCGAGGGACAACACGCCCACGGCCACGGCCTCTGGGAACCACGTGAAGCTCCCGCCGAGAAAGCCAGTGGCAGCCCAGGGACCAGCACAGCCAGGCGGCAGGCAGGCATGTGTGCTCTGTGTGGCACCGTGTGCTCTGTGTGGCACCAGCAGGTGGACGGTTGCAGCGTGTTCACGTGGCTGTCGGGAAGCGTCAGGGAACGGCAGTGGCTCACGTCACGTGCGGGAGGTGTTTACGAGGCCGCGACAATCCCAGGCGTGAAGCAGACACAGCTCACTGTCATCCCCGAGCCCGGGAGAGCCGCCGCCATCCAAGACACACAACAGGAGGACACTGTAGTGCTGGGGAGGTCACGGAGAGACCCGGGGCCCAGGAGGGTGTCAGGAGGCAGGCGTGATGTCAGATGTCCAATGTCACTGCTCAGTGCACGCTGGGCAGAACGCGGAGCACCAGCCCCGCCCAGGGTAAACAGGGGATGCGGCCTGCTGGCTAGGGCAGGCGACAGCACACACAGGGCACACACATGGCAGGTACCACACAGGGCAGATGCAGCAGGACTCCCTCAGCAGCCCACGCACCTCTGAGAGTTGTTACCGTCAGACTGTGCCAACCCCAACAAAAAATCAAGCAAAGCTGAGAGGTATCAAGAGGGGTTTTTACACACGACTGCCGGACAGCACCCATTCCAGACCACAGCTCACACAGATGACCACAGCCACACTCAGAGGGCACGCTCCGAGCACGCCTGCCCAGCAGCTGCTCAGCCTCAGACCCACACGGCCTGTGCCCAAAGGTCACTGCTTCCGAATGTCCTGTGGGCAGCCCCATTGTTGGCTACTAACCTAGACCGCAGTGACCAACCCAGACTAGTAACCAACCCAGGTCATAGTAACCAACCCAGACCGCAGAAACCAACCCAGACTGCAGAAACCAACCCAGACCATAGTAACCAATCCAGATCTCAATAACCAACCCAGACCTCAGCAACCAACCCAGACCACACAGTAATCAACCCAGATTCCAGTCACAACCCATATACAGTAACCAATCCAGACCAGTAATGAAACCAGAACATAGTAACCAACCCAGATACAGTAACCAACCCAGGCCATGGTAACCAACCCAGATATAGTAACCAACACAGACCAGACCACAGTAATCAACCCAGATTCAAGTAACAACCCAGATACAGTAACTAATCCAGATCAGTAACCAATCCAGACCATAGTAACCAACCCAGATTCCAGTAACCAACCTAGACCTCAGTAATCAACCCAGATTACAGTAACCAACCCAGATTACAGTAACCAACCCAGACCAGTAACCAACTCATACCAGTAACCAACTCAGAACATAGTAACCACCTAAATTAGAGTAACCAACCCAGATCACAGTAACCAACCCAGATCATAGTAACCAACCCAGATTCCAGTAACCAACCCAGACCACAGTAACCAACCCAGACCACAGTAACCAACCCAGATACAATACAA